TCCCCCCCTCTTTCTTTCTTTCTTTCTTTCTTTCTTTCTTTCTTTCTTTCTTTCTTTCTTTCTTCTTTCTTTCTTTCCTTCTTCTTTCTTTCTTCTTTCTTCCTTCCTTCCTTCCTTCCTTCCTTCCTTCCTTCCTTCCTTCCTTCCTTCCTTCCTTCCTCCTTCCTTCCTTCCTTCTTCCTTCCTTCCTTCCTTCCTTCCTCCCTCCCTCTTTCTTTCTTTCTTTCTTCTTTCTTTCTTTCCTTTCTTTCTTCTTTCTTTCTTCTTTCTTTCTTCCTTCCTTCCTTCCTCCTTCCTTCCTTCTTCCTTCCTTCCTTCCTCCCTCCCTCCCTCTTTCTTTCTTTCTTTCTTTCTTTCTTTTTCTTTCTTTCAACGGACAGATTGTTCTATCAGGAAATCCCTCCTTAGTTCCAGATTGCTTCTCTCCTTGATTAGTTTCCACCCATTGCTTCTTGTTCTCCTGCCTTCGGGGGCTTTGGAGAATAGATTGAGCCCCCCTCCTCTCTGTGGCAGCCCCTCAAATATTGGAAGGCTGCTCTCATGTCACCCCCTGATCCTTCTCTCCGATGAGCTTGATACGGCTATCTCCCTCCACCGTCCATCACGACTATTTCGCCTCCAGCCCATTGAGCGTTGCTCTTCTCTGCATTCTTCTGAGGATGGTGGGGACCAGACCTGGAGGTGGGATTCCCAGCGTGGCCCCACTGGTGCAGTGCAGAGCAAGACTTTCGCCTCTCTTGATCCTGACGCCGTCCCTCGGTTGATGAAGGCTGGGCCTGCAGTGGCTTTCCTGGCAGCTCCAGCACCCACACAGCTGGCTCATGTTCTATTGGTTGTCCACAAGGATCCCTGGACCCGTAAAACCAACGAAAGATCAAAGAAGGGAGCCCGCAGAAAGGAGGTCTTCGTGGCTCCTGCAGCCCAGTTGATTCGTTCTTGAGCTTGGATGTTCCCCTGCGGATACTTCGTTATTCGGCCATTCTGCAGGCACGGATGATGGGACGACACATCTACATGTTGAGGCCACACCAAGGGCGTAGGAGGAGCCCCCTCAAGAGGAGCCAGATTTGAACCCAGAGTCCACTGCTCTTCACCACAGCCTCCCTGGTACTGCCTGGCCCCTTCCCTCTCTGCCTCCGGCACCCACCTCCTCCTTGGTCCAATCTGCCAAATGCAGAGCCATCCCTTGGCTTGAAAGTTTAATGACAGGTGTCTTGTTTCCGCTGTTCGGGGACTTCTGGTGACATCTTGTAAGGTTCGCTTACAGATCAAGACACACCAATTCCAATTACTGGCCCCGCTTATCCTCTCCGGGGCCGATTGAATTGCAATTTAGCTGATGGCCCTTCCCAAAGGCTGCTTGGACGAGCCGCCTTGCCATGGAGATGCTAAGAGGCGCCTCGCCGTGTCTCGCTGGAAACATGGAGCTCAGAGGCCCTGAACTGAGGGGGTCCCACCTGCCACCCTTGAGGGACGGACAAAGATCCCCCCAACTCTATTATTCTTGTTCCGTCAGGATCTGAAAGTCCAGAGAGGTTGGATCTCAAGGACCCCCGTGAGCCAGAACGTCCATCGAGAGAGCCCCACGAAGGATTGTGATGCAGAGCGGATAAAGCCTGCCCTTCGCACAACCCCTCTTTTGTCGAGCACACACACACACCCTGCAGGTGCCTTCAAATTGTGGGGTGCGCCGCCCTACCTGGCATCCCAAAGAATCCCAGGGCGATCCCAAGAAGCAGGAAGGTGCGAACCTCGGGAGCCTGTGACATGTTCGTGCCCACCAAGAGGCGGCTGGAGAGAGGAGGCCGCCCGGGGCATCGCAAGTCTCCTCACCTGGAGATGCTGGTGAGGCATGTGGAGATACGTGAGCTGCCTTGCCGCTCCGAGGGCAGGAAGGAAGGAGGAGTCTCTCTCGGCAGAGGCAGAATCTCTCCAAGGGCTGCAGATGGGTTTTCCATAGCTCAGCCAGCTGTAAACAGAACTCCATCCAAGAAGGAGAGACGCAAGAGATGGAGAAAGGGAGCGGAAGAGGTCGAGAGCCAGTGAACAAAAATAGAATTAAAAAAAAACCCCTCTAGCAAAATGCCAAAGGTAAGTAGAAAGAGCCTCGGGGGGTCTCAAATACATTTATCGCAGCAACGGTTCTATATTTGGAAGGAACCCATTTCATTTCAGGATCTTCCAACGTTGGGTTGGGAGGAGGGTGTCCATCCCACCGGAGCAGCTGCTACCGATTAAAGAGAAGCAAACGGATCGTATTAAAGAAATATTGGAGTTATAAACAAATCCCAAACAATGGTGGGAAAGTTCCTGTATTCCCAGACGTGGCAGTGTTGGTCCAAATATTTGGTCTTCGTGCTCTTGAACTTTTGGGAGATTTGAAATGGGCAAAAAAGGAATTTTGTTTTCACAGATGGAAGAACCGTTTTGGGCCCTAAGGATGAGTATCTTATTGCCAACGTATACAAATGGTTCTTTTTTTTAAAAATTTATCTGCTGCCGTCTTGCCACAGGCGACTCTAACAATAAAACGGTTAATGACGGTGAACCAAGAAGATGAATAGGTTTAGTAGATAAAAATATTCCCTGATGAGAGAGATTTGATTATACTCAAGGAAGGAGCGCAGGATCGGAAGAGGTGGAGGGACCACCAGGCCCACAGGATTTAATGGACAACATCATTTGATTATAAAAATCTTTTAAGTCGTATTTGCATTTGTGTAATTGATATTACGATGCATTTATGTGGGGTTTTTTTTTGATTAAGAGAGTATAATATACTGTTATTGATATGCAAGTTTTCTTTTTAAAAACTAAAACAAGAATATTTTATCCTATAACTAAACCCGTATTGAAAAGAATTGGAAGTAATTGTTTTCCTATATTATTTTGAGGGGGGGGATTTAAACTTCCCCGGTTGACGCCCCTCCCCCACTTTTTCCTTTGCAATTTTGTACTTGAACTGTTTACCTTAAAGCGAATTGCAACGCTTGTCACCTGCCCCTGGTTATAGGTGGGATCCTGAAACACCCCCCCCCCAAATGCCAATGGAAGATACAGAAGGAAGAAAGAAAGAGACAATCAGAAAAATGCTATAAACATTTTATTTTTTTGTAGAAAGTATTTCCAGAAAAACAGACAAGAAAATAATTTGGATCATTTATTTATACTTTTAATAAAAACCTTTACATAATCTTCATGCGTTAACGACTTTTCTGGCACCCCCCTCCCCTCAAGACACGCAGTCAGCACACATGCACGCACCCCCCTCCCTCCCTGATCCAGCTGCAGCCCCCGCCGTGCGTCTCCCCGCAAGACCCCGGCCGAGATTGCGCAAAGGGTTAAGCCGGCCCCCTGGGCGCCTGGTGAAGGTACAGAGTGGACGGGCGGGGGGGGGGCGGCGGCTTCTGACTGCCTCAAGAGGGAGAGACCACCTTGCTGGGGGGGAGGGTCTCCCAAGGGGGCCTCTCCAGCCAAAGCAAGGGCCCCGGACCCCGGCTTCCCTGCTTGGGCCAGCCGATGGGTAGGGGGCAACCATGAAAAGGTCCCGCTGCCTTCATGGCCACCGAGCCCCCTCCCTCCAGGGCCGTCCCGCTCCCCCCTCCCTGAACAAGTCTCCAGGCGGAGCACAGCTGAATCAGGCGCTATTCACACACAATGATTCCTAGCAGCCCCTCCCCCCCTCGAGCGAGCCCTTTTCTTCGGCCAAACGCCCGGCCAGAGGGGAGGGGTCACCACTGCGGGGGTTCTGCGGCAGCAGACTTTATTGAGACCACAAAGCGGCTGGGAGGGGGGGGGCCTCATGGGGGTCCCACCGCAGAGCCGGGCCTTTAGCTTCCTGCGCCCCTCCCTCCCTTGCAAGCTAGATGGCGGTAGCTATGCTCCCCCCCCCAAAAAAAGCAGGAAGGCAGGCTGCGTCCTGTACCCCCCGCTGGGTCCAAAGGGGACCCCCCACTCGCAGGCAGGGCGGCTTCGTCACTGGGCCACCACCATCAGTTCCCGCAGGTAGGACTGGGTCAGCCCGCGGAGCTCCTCCAGCGCGTAGTCTTCTGGCATGGGCAGCCGGCTGATGTGGGGGGCCAGTAGGCGCAGGGGGACCCTCTGCACGTCGGGGGTGGTGCTGGAGGCCGGGTCCGGAGGGTGCTGCAGGCTCAGCACCACACGGAGGATGTCTGCGTTGCGCTTGGCCATCTCTGGGGGGAGAGAAAGGACGGGGCAGCCGGTCAGAGACAGGGAAGGCCTCGGGGATTTCTACTCCCCGCCTGCTGACGGGTCACAGGCAGGAGGCTCTGCGGAAGAGCCGGGGGCTCAGACCCCGGGAGTCTGGCTCATTGCCCAGGAGAGGGAAGGGGGGGGGAGAGCAGGAAGGACCTAGAGGCCAAGAGGAGGGAGGGCAGCCAGAAGGGAGGGAGGGCTCTGCCTGCCTGCCCATCATCCATCCATCCATCCATCCATCCATCTTCTGCCTGGTCTATATCTACATGTGACCCCTCCCTCTCACACCTGTCTATCACCTATTTGTTATTTATTTTCTCTCTGTCCATCCATCCACAATATTTAGTCACCCTTCTTTCAACCCGCTGTGGTCAGATCCCCACCCTAAATTAAAAGACAGACACAATTATATGAAAGCTATAAAACTCCATCGATTCAAACATTAAAAAAAACCCAAAACCAGCCCCAAGTGAATTCTAGTGCGAGATTATCTAGTCTAGCATAAAGATTCCCCCCCCCCAAAGGCTTCTCTGTGCTAAGCGTTCCTTACTCAGGGGGGGTCCAGGGGAGGGGCACTCCAGAGGCTGCAGGAGGCCAAGCACACAAGGAGGATCCCCATTTGGTTGGTTGGGGGGGAAGCCCCATGTTTGTTTTCATTTTATAGATTGGGGGAGGGGGGGGTTAGTGGTAAAATGGGGTCCTTTTGGGGAGCAAATCGGCTGCCGTGTGCTCCCCTCCTCCAATGCTCCGTGCAGGGCCCTGGGCGGCCTCCTCGGGAGACCCCTGTCCATCAAGCAGCTTCTCTCCCGAGTGGGGAAAAGGTGCCCCTTCAGCCGCATTTTAAGCCCCCCCACCCTTCCACAGAAGGTCCTCACCTGGGGCTGGGTTCTGCCTGGTGGCTTCACAGGGGAACCCCGTGTCCCATGGCAGCAGCACTGCCCCCCACTGCCCCCACCCCCAGGTGGCCTTACCCGACTGAGCCAGCCTGTCCTTGGCACTGTGACACTGGACCAGCTCTATCCTGCCGCAGAGGGAGATCACTTTGGAGTGGATCTCCTCCAGCTCGTAGCCGGTGCAGTCCAGCTGGAAACAAGCCAGGGGAGGGGAGTCAGCAGCCATCGGACGCTCCATGTGTGTGTGTCAAGAGCCCCACCTGGAGGGTGGGGGGCAACGTCCTTACCTGCTGAATCCTGCTGACCATCTCGATGACTTGGAGATAGTCCAAGAAAACCAGCCCAGCCGTGTCCCAGCCCTGAATGAGGCTGCAGCGCTCGGGGCTGGCCAGGTCTTCCAAGAGGCCCTTCAGGTAGGTGTAATTCTCGTTAATGATGGCGTCTGCGGGGAAGGGGAGAGAGAAGGGAAGAATGGGCAGGGGTCTGCCTGCCTGCCTGCCTCTCCCGTTATAGTGGGGGCTTCGGCCCCACGGAGAGCAACTGGCGGGGGGGGTGAGTGCTTACCAGAAGCCAAGTGCCTGACCACCAGCTGGTGGCACTGGTTCCAGTGGCCGGCCTTGAAGAGGTAGAGGGCCTCGCGGGTCTTGTCCCCCTCCCTCCGGGCCCACAGGGCCTTCGCCTCGTAGATCCACTCCGGGGGCACGCACAGCTTCTGCGTCAGGAAGGCCTCCTTCTCCCCGGACTCGGGCAGCTCCAGCAGCTTGCAGTGGCGGTTCAGCAGCTCCCGCACGGCTCTTTCCCGCGTTCTGGGGAGGGAACGGAAGGGCTGTCGGTCAAGGATGGTCGAGCGTTGGAGAGCCGTCCACCAAGGGCAGCCGTCTCCAGGAGGGCAGCTGAGGGTTGGAATGAGGGGGCCTCCTCGGTGCTCTTCGAGCCGGGTAGTTTCATGGCAGATGTTTCATGACCCCAAACTAGGTCAGGTCACCCCTGGGGGTCCTGGTTTACTTGGCTGCTGCTCTGATGTCCGTCTCCCTAGACCAAACATGCCAGGAGCCATCAGCAGGCACAGAGAGAGAAACAACCTCTACCCGCTAGTCAAGAGAATTGAATTGAATTGAATTGAA